CCCTATAAGGCAGAGTAAAACTGGCCCATAGGATTTCCAGGGAGCACCTGGTGGATTCGAATTGCTGACCTTTGGGTTAGCAGCCAAGCTCTTAACCACTGCATGATGGGTTAGGAAGGACAAAAATAAAAGGTCTCCCATTCTGCTGGCATATTTCTCAAAGGGTGAAATGTGTCCCACCGAAAAAAAGCCCATTGCCGTCAAGCCAGTTCCAACTCATAGCGATCGCATAAGACAGAGTAGAACTATCCCATAGGAGCCCTGGTGGCACAGTGGTTAAATGCTCAGCTGCTAACCCGAAGGTCGGCTGTTCAAACCCATTTGCTGCTCCACAGGAGAAAGATGTGTCTCCTGTAAGATATACAACTTTGGAAACCCTGCTCTGTCCTATAGGGTCACTGTGAGTTGGAATCAACTCCATGGCATCCTGCAGAGTGTCTGGTGAGTTCAAACCACCCACCCTTTGGTTAGCAGCCAAGCACTTAACCACTGCACTGCCAGGACTCACAAACCAGCTCACCATGAGACAGGCCCTTGTCAACCCTTTCTCAATCTTGCTGACTGCGTCAAGGAGAAAGTCTCGGTTTGGTACTAACATGCATTTAGTAACACCTCTCATATTTGCTCAAATTTGGACAAAGAGAGATTGGATTTCAGATCCAGAGCCTTCCATGGGCAGCAGTTGCCCCCGTTTTGAGAGACTCCAAATTATACATACAATGTCCCAAAATTCACTGGTGCCCTGTTGATTTTTTTTTTTTTTTGGTACTCTTTTCACTCTCTGTGTTTCGCTTTGGATGGTTTCTATTGCTATGGCTTCAAATCTGTAATCTCTTCTGTGATGTCTAATCTGTGGTTAATCCCATCCACCGTATTTTTCATTTTAGACATTGTAGTTTTCATGCCTAGAAATTCATTGTGGGTCTTTTTCATATCTTCATATCTCTTCTTAAATTTTTGATCATGTGGAATACAGTTATAATAGCTGTTTTAATTTCAGGTCCTATTAATTTCATTTTATTTCTAACATGTGTCAGTTCTTGGTTACTTTAGATAGATTGATTTTGATTCTCAGTTATGGGTTCCAGGTTCCAGTTTCTTTGAATAGATGCTATACATTGTGAATATGACATTGTTGGGTACCGGATGCTTCTGTGGTTTTTTTAAATTATTCTTCATCTTTGTTCTGGGCTGCAATTAAGTTACTTGGAAACAGTTTGATCCTTTTGGGTCTTACTTTGAAGATTTGTTAGGCAGGCCCCAAGCAGTGTTTAGTCTGGGACTGGTTATTTCCCATTACTGAGACAAGAAGCTTCTCAGTATTCTACCCAATGCTCCATGAATTATGAGGTTTTCCATTCCGGCTAGTGGAAAAACACTATTCCTGGCTATGTGTGAGTGCCAGGCACTATTCTCTGTAATCATTTAAGGTGGCTCTGTCCGTAGCCTTGACTAATTTCCTCACACACATGTGCTGATCAGCACTCTGCCTAAAATTTGAGGGGACCCTCTGCAGTTGTCCAGAGCTCTCTCTGCAGCTCTGTCCTCTCCGGTACTCTGTACTGTGAACTCTTGCCACCTAGACTTTCAGCTCCATCTCCTCAACTAAGGCAGTTCACCAGGCTCCACCTGACATCTCTCCCCCTTGTCACAACCTAGAAACTTTCTCAAGACAGTAAGCCCACTGTCGTAGGGTTCACCTTGTTCTTTTCATGCTCTCAGGGATCACTGTTCTTCCTGATGTCCAATATCTTGAAAACTTTTTTCACGTATGCTATCCTTTTTGCGGATCCAAATGCTTCCCAATGCTATCCTTTTACTTGGATCCACAATCCACGCCCATGAAGCAGCAGTCAAGAAATCAAACGACATACTACATTGGCCAAATCTGCTGCAAATGACCTCCTTAAAAGTGTCAAAAGGCAAAGATGTCACTTGGAGGACTAAGATGTACCTGACCCAAGCCACAGTATTTTCAGTCACTCATATGCCTGCAAAAGCTGGACGATGAATAAGGAAGATTGAAGAATTGATGCCTTTGAACTATGGTGTTGGCGAAGAATATTGAATATACCATGGACTACCAGAAGAATGAACAAATCTGTCTCGGGAGGAGTACAGCCAGAATGATCCTTAGAAGTCAGGGTGGTGAGACTTCATTTCACATACTTTGGACATGTTATCAGGAGAGACCAGTCTCTGGAAAAGGACACCATGCTTGGTAAAGTAAAGGGTCAGCCAAAAAGAGGAAGACCCTCAAGGAGATGGATTGACACAGTGGCTACAACAATGGACTCAGACATAGCAACGACTGTGAGGATGGCGCAGGACAGGGCAGTGTTTCGCTCTGTTGTACATAATGTCACTATGAGTTGAAACCAACTCTACGGCACCTAACGACACCGACACTTTTTGTTGTTGTTATTTCAGGAAGGACAGCACAACTGTTCCCTATCGCTCCATCTCCATTCCCTCTTTCAATTAGATTTTATAATTTTCTTCACATAAGTCCTATGCCTTCTCACTAAACTTGTGTCTAAATATTTACAATTTTTGTGCTATTGTAACTGGACTATCTCCTCCCATCTCCATTTCCAGGTACTTATTTCTAGAGTGGAGCCCTGGTGGCACTGTGGTTAAGAGTTGAGCTGCTAACCAAAAGGTCGGCAGTTAGAATCCACCAGTCATTCCTTGGAAACCCTATGGGGCAGTTCTACTCTGTCCTATAGGGTCACTATGAGTTGGAATCAAAGTGGGGGCAGTGGTAGTTCAGTGGTAGACTTCTGTTTGATTCACAGCCAATGCACCTCATACGATATCACTACCTGTCAGCGGAGGCTTGCACGTTGTTACGATGCTAAACGTGGTAAGGAGCCCTGGAGGCACAATGGTCAAGAGCTCAGCTGCTAACCAAAAGGTTGGTAGTTCAAACCCACCCAGCAGCTCTGCAGGAGAAAGACCTGGCAATCTGCTTCTGTAAAGATTACAGCTTAGAAATCCCTATGGAGCAGTTATTACTCTGTCACATGGGGTAGCTAAGAGTCAGAATTAACTCGAGGGCACCCAACAACATGATGCTGAACAGGTTCCAGCAGTTTGCAGACTAAAACAGACTAGCAAGAAAGGCCTGGCCATCTACTTCCAAAAATCAGCCAGTGAAAACCCTACAGATCACAATGATCCAATCCACAACTGATCATGGGGATGGCACAAGATCGGGCAGCATTTCATTCCATTTAGCATGGGGTCACTATGAGTTAGAGGCCAACTTGACAGTAGCTACCATTTTTAGAGTAAAAAAACTATTGCTTTTTGTATAGTTGTTGACAGGTGTCCTGAAATTGAACATCAGTCCTAAATTTACCCAGCAAACATCTAGGGCTGGTGCAGCTGTTCAGCAATGCCAGCAAGGACCCAAGCTCTGCTCCACCCACCTCAGCTCTTAACCTCATGCTTGTTACTTCCTGACACAAAATGGCTGCTATAGCTCTGGACCATATGTATGTGATCCAGGCAAGAAGGAAGAGGGAAACAGGGAGTGGCAACTTCCATATCGGGAAAGCAAAAGATTTCTCAAAATACATTCAGCTCATATCTTATTAGCCAGAATTACGTTAACAATTTTAACATTATAACAATTCTGACTGTAACAACAGTCTGGGGAAGTATGTGTTTAGCTGGAAATTGACCATAAACTCACAAATAATATCAGGGTTCTAGTTGATAATAATTGATATGAGTAGGCAACGAAGAGTCTACAAGCCATGCTTGAATTCCTAGAATAAACCCTACTGAGTCATAGTGATTCTTTTAAATATACTGTCAAGTTCTATTTGATAATATTCTGTTTTGTTTTTTTCTTTTAAGGCTAGTGCAGTATTCTGTTAAAGAAAAACTTTAACTTAGTGTGAAAAGAACAAATTTTTCAATATTTTTTCAGAGGTAACATCACGGCCTTATGACCAGATCTATGATCAGCCACACATAGTAATACTAGAAATGGAAACAAAATGAGAGCAAAAATAAAAACAAGGTGCTACATGAATTTAAAAAAAAAAAAAAAAGATTACCAGTGGTATTAAATGTTATCTTTAACACTACACAGTATTTGTGAAATTTTCTGTTTCAAACGTCTCTTAACTAGGAACAACCTAATTAGGTATTTGACATGTTAATCACCATGTAGAAAAAAATGTTAAGTCTCCCTTTCTCTTTGGACTTACTAAAACTATTGCTGTGATAATAATATTGTGGGGTTTTTTTGTCTTTACCTTTTAGAGACACATACTGAAATATTTATAGATAAAATTATACGTCTAGTACTTGCTTCAAAATGACATGAAGTCACAGAGGGGCAAATGGACAGACGTACAGATGAAACAAGACTGGCCATGAGCTTTTGACTGCTGAATAGGAGTACTAAGTATATGGGTTCACTGAATTATTCGGCCTTCTTTTGAATATGTATGAATTTTTCCATAATAAAAAAAAATCTGTGGAATGAAAAGTTAGCATTTTAATCAGCATGTGGAAAAATGTCTCTCTGGACTTTTACTAAAATAAAACTATTGCTGTGATTAATAGTATTGTGATTTTTGTTTTTTTAAGTCTTTACGTGTATGTATGTGCAAAAGTACATACAAATGTTTTAAATGACACAAAGTGTTTAGCAGAGATTCCATTCCAAAGGATGTCTGATTTTTAAAAAGGAACTGTACATGGGCAATATCCACGGAAGGACAGTTCTGCTAGTCCCTAAACTCAGTCATAAGCAGCTGTGGGTAGAGACTGCACCACCCCCCAGTAGCCATCGCCACATTTCTCATCACTGTCTGCAGCGTGGGAGTCTACAACCCCAAATGGTTCCTGGGTCCAACTCTAGATTTTGTCAAATTCCATATTCACACTAACAATGACTACATTTACATATACTGCAAGTAATCTTAAACCCATAAAGCTTCAAAGATTAAAGTCATACACATATAAAATCCATAGAAAAATAATGTAATTAGAATTTATACAAAGTAGATTTTTACAAAACAAGTGCACTACAAGAAATACATCTTATATCCAAGCACAAAAATGTGGAAATATACATGGAAGGATACGTTTAAGAAAAAACATTTATTTCTAAATGCTGAGTGGGAAGGCATAGGTTGAGTCCTGGTTGACTGGTAGAATTTTGAAGAAAACCAGTTTGTTAGTAGAACGTTCCACTCCATTCCCAAGCTTCTAAAAATAGTTTCTGAAGGAGATTAGACAGCTGTTCCTCTTTCCAAGTTTTGTTTAATTTCAGCTGTGTATTTCCCATAGAATCTCTCTGCCTTCTTATTGAATTTGGCATTCCTTTCATTAATGTAGTCAATATCTGCATCGTCATTATAAGGGCGTCTGCGGCTATATTTGTCTCGTTTTTCAATTCTGGGGAAGGAAGAAAGTAAGTTACAATATTGAAAATGTATTTATTTTGATCTTAATAAAACATGGCCATAACAGCTAAGAATAGAATCAGTACACTTAGAACAGCGTATTTTGAAAGAAAAAAAAAAAAAAAGCCCAGTTTTCATCAAGTTGAAACTGCTAATAAAAGCCACAACCCTGGGTATGAATTCAGTAAATACGAACTCATCTTCAAAATGCTTCTAAAAGAGCAATGCTACATAGTTAGGAACTGTACACATGAAGTAATGCTTAAAAGAAGATGATATAAGCAGTTGCCTTCCAGGCAACTCTGACTCCTGGCAACCCTGTGCATGTCAGAGTAGAACTGTGCTCCATAGGGTTTCAATGGCTGATTTTTGGGAAGCAGACTGCCAGGCCTTTCTTCTGAGGCACCTCTGGATGGACTCAAGTCTCCAACCTTTATGGTAGCAGCCAAGCGCATTAATTATTTCACCACCCAGAAACTCCATTATTAAAACAACTATTATTATATTACAATGCCCATAGCTAATATGAATTGAGTGCTCAGTATATGTAAACATTATTCCTAACACGTTCCATGTGTTAACTCCTAAAATATAAATTCATTCTGCTCTGCCTAATATTTACCTCTATCAGTATTAAGAAACACAAATATAGCGAGGCCAAGATAGCAGAGTAGTCAGACACTTCCTGTGGTCCCCCCTTACAACAAAGACCCGAAGAAACAAATGAATCGATTATATATGACAATCTAGGAGCCCTGAACATCAAAGACAAACTTGAGGAATCAGACTGAGCAGCATAGAGAGGGGGGAGACAGTTCAGAAGCAGCGAGGAATTGCCAGACCTGACCAGGCCAGCACTGGCACCCTGCAGGCTGGACTGGCGAGCACGCGAGGGGTCAGGCGAGCAGTGGCACTCGGGACGCGTCTTCCACACCGGGAGAGACCAAGTGACAGACAGTCTGCTAAAGCCTCAAGAACCAGTGAGAAATGGTGCTCAATCAGCAAAAGATAAGTACAAGTGTCTAATCTACTGCACGGATCAAAAAAAAAAAACACCCCTTTTGGGAAGTACCTCTCTCCCATTTACCTGCCCCCTCCTCACTCTGCTGCAGGTTCCGGTCTGGCTTCACGCCAGAATTAGGACTTATCGAGCGTCCTGAGCCATTCCCCCGGCTTTGGAGAGGGAACAAATTAACAAACAGGAAAAAATAATCTGTCAGCTCCCCTAAGCCTGGAACTCAGGGCAAGCACACCTCCTTTGCCTAGACACAGGCATAATGGTTCCACGGACTTTGAGTGCCTTTCACCCCTACATAGACCTCTGTGGGCCCATTTCAACAGCGTAGGCCCTCACTAGCATAGTACAACAGGGTATATACCTGAAGCCTATTTTCATCTGTATGAGCTATAAGGGAGAATGGCAGAATCATGACATTTGACACTGCCCTGCCCATTAAGGAGGGTCTTCACGTATCCACATCAGGGGCCTGAGGACTGGTGGCTCCACCCACTCCACCAAGCCACACGCAACAGGGGTCCAAGAATAAGGTGGCTCCCAGTACTTACAGCCAACAGCGCCAGATGCCCATAGTCTGGCTGTAAAATCCACCTACCTACATGCTCTAAGGAACAGGGACATGCCTTCCACCCAGACACTCAGGGGCAGCAGTCAGCCCCCTGCCTTGATCAGTACGACACCCTACTACAGCCAGATATCTGTGCCTACTCCAATTACCCCTGCCCCTCTAGGGCTGTAGGTAAGAGCCTGTATCACACACTTGGTAACCAACGACCTGGCCACCTGAACTGAAACCACACAAGAAAAGTAAACGGACTCCTGGACTCACCTAGTAACAGCTCTAGCCACCTTGAGACAGGACGTGAGAGCTTCAAGGACGCCAATAATCAAACTAACTCACACACCCAGCCCATTTGGGCATATCAAAACAAAACAAAAAGCTAGGACACAGTAAGCAAACATAAAATAAATAAATATGATAACTTATTGATGGCTCGGAGACAACAGTCAATATCAAATCACATAAACAGGCAGACCATGATGGCTTCAGCAAGCCACCGAAACAAAGAATGAAGAAACCTTCCAGAGGAAAAGAACTTCTTGGAATTACCAGAGGTAGAATTCAAAAGATTAATATACAGAAGTCTTCAGAGATTAGGAAGGAGATCAGGCAAAATGTAGAACAAGACAAAAAACACACAGACAAAGTAACAGAGGAACTTAAGAAGGTTATACAAGACAATAATGACAAATATAACAGTCTGCAAGAATCCACAGAGACAGCAAACAGAAATCCAGAAGATTAACAATAAAATTTCATCATTAGACAACTCAATAGAAAGTCACAGGAGCAGAACTGAGGCAATGGAAGTCAGAATTAGTTAGATTGAAGATAAAGCACGTGACACCAACTTAATTGAGAAAACATCAGATAAAAGAACTTTAAAAAATGAAGAAACCCTAAGAATTATGTGGGACTCTACCAAGAGGAACAACCTACGAGTGATTGGAGTACCAGAATGAGGGAGATACCCAAAAATACGGAGAGAATTTTTTAATTTATTGCAGAAAACTTCCCTGACATCATGAAAGATGAGAAGGTATCTATCCAAGAAGTTCATCGAACCCCACACAAGGTAGATCCCAAAAGAAAGTCACTAAGACATATTATAATCAAACTTACCAAAACCAAAGATAAAGAGACAATTTTAAGAACAGCTACGGATAAACGAAAAGTCATCTACAAAGGAGAGTCAATAAGATTAAGCTCGGACTACTCAGCAGAAACCATGCAGGCAAGAAGGCAATGGGATGACATATATAAAGCCTTGAAGGAAAAAAACTGCCAGCCAAGAATTATATATCCAGCAAAACTGTCTCTCAAACATGATGGTGAAATTAGGCATTTCCAGAAAAACAGAAGTTTAGGGAATTTGTAGAAACCAAACCAAAATTACAAGAAATACTAAAGGGAATCTTCCGGTTAGAAAATCAATAACATCAGATAACAACCAAAGACTAGAGCATAGGACAGAGCAACCAGATATCAACCCAGACAGGGAAGTCACAAAAATAAATCAAAGCTAAAACACTGAAAATAGGGATATAGAGACGTCAACATGTAAAAGGTGACAACATTAAAACAAAAAAGAGGGACTAAATAATATAGTCACAGAACTTTCATATCGAGAGGAAGTCAAGGCGTATCAAGAAATAAAAGATTGGTTTAAACTTAGAAAAACGGTAATTAAGGTAACCACAAAAGAAACTAACAATCCTACACATCAAAATAAAAAACATGAAAAACAAAGACTCAGCAAATACAAAAATCAACAATGAAAACAAGGAAAAGAAAATACATACAGAAAAATGACTCAGCACAGAAAATTAAGCAGAACAAAGAAACCGTCAACACACAAAAAAAATACATCAAAATGACAGCACTAGACTGATACCTATCAATAATTACGCTGAATGTAAATGGACTAAATACACCAATAAAGAGACAGAGAGTGGCAGAATGGATTAAAAAACACAATCTGTCTATATGCTGCCTACAGGAGACACACCTTAGACTTAAAGACACAAACGAAAACTCAAAGGATGGAAAAAAATACATCAAGCAAACAATACTCAAAAAAGAGGAGGAGGGGCAATATTAATCTCTGACAAAATAGACTTTAAAGCAAAATCCACCACGAAGGATAAGGAAGGAATCATTAAACGGTCAATATACCAGGATGACATAACCATAATAAATATTTATCCAGCCAATGACAGGGCTCCAAAATACATAAAACAAACTCTAACAGCACTGAAAAGAGAGACAGACAGCTCCACAATAATATTAAGAGACTTCAACACACCACTTTCGGTGAAGGACAGAACATCCAGAAAGAAGCTCAGTGAAGACACAGAAGATCTAAATGTCACAATCAACCAATTTGATCTCATAAACATATACAGAACACTCCACCCAACAGCGGCCAAGGATACTTTCTTTTCCAACGAACATGGAACACTGTCCAAAATAGACCATATATTAGGCCATAAAGCAAGTCTGAACAGAATTCAAAGCATCGAAATATTACAAAGCATCTTTTCTGACCATAAAGCCATAAAAGTAGAAATCAATAACAGAAAAAAGAAAAAAAAAAATCAAACACACGGACACTGGACAATGCCTTGCTCAAAAACTACTGGGTTATAGAAGAAATTAAGGACAGACTAAAGAAATTCACAGAATCAAATGAGAATGAAAACACATCCTACCAGAACCTTTGGGACACAGCAAAAGCTATGCTCAGATGTCAATTTATAGCAATAAATGCACACATCCAAAAAGAAGAAAAGGCCAAAATCAAAACATTAACCCTACAACTCGAACAAATACTAAAAGAGCAGCAAAAGAAGCCTTCGGGCACTAGAAGGATGGAAAAAATGGAAATTAGAGCAGAACAGAAAAACGATTGAAAGAGTTAACGTGACCAAAAGCTGGTTCTTTGAAAAGATCAACAAAATCAATAAGCCACTGGCCAAAAATGACAAAAGAAAAACAGGAGAGGAAGCAAATAACCCGAATAAGAAATGAGATGGGTGAGATCATAACAAATCCAACCGAAATTAAAAGAATCATAACAGAATACTATGAAAAATTATACTCTAATAAATTTGAAAACCTAGAGGAAATGAATAAATTTCTAGAAACTCACTACCTACCTAAACTAACACAAACAGAGG